TTGTCTTTTTCTAGGATATTGCTTAGAATTGTTTGGAGTGCTGGTTTGGTGTTCATGAAATTTCTCAGGTGTTCTTTGTCGTGGAAGTATCTAATTTCCCTATCAATTTTGAAGGATAATTTTGCAGGATACAATATTCTAGGTTGGAAGTTATTTTCTTTTAGGGCTTGAAATACTTCACTCCAGGCTCTTCTTGATTTGGGGGTTTGGGTTGAGAAGTCTGCCTTGATTCTGATGGGCTTTCCTTTGTACGTGGTTTTTTTTTTTTGGTACTGGGGATAGAACTCGGGTCCTTGTGCTTGTGCTGCAGGCAGTGAAACCACTGAGCCTGTTTCTTTTCTCTAACTGCCTGTAGGATTTTATTCTTCTCTTGGCTTTCTGGGATCTTGACTATTATATGTCTAGGTGTAGATTTTTTTTTTGATCATGGCTAGTTGGAGTTCTATATGGCTCACTTATCTGTATGTCCAATTCTCCACCTCTGTCTGGGAAGTTTTCTACTATTACTTTTGTGAAGTTTTTTTTTGTCAATTGTACTTTCTCCTGTTTTCTTGTGGACTCCCTATCAGTCTTACGTTATTCTTCTTTGCATCATCTAGCAGCTGCTGGATTGATTTCTCATAGTCCTGTACTATTTTTAAGAAATCTCTGTTTTGATGGTCCTTAACCGTAATCCTGTCTCCTATATCTGATATTCTATCTTCACATTCCCTTAATCTGCTGTGCATGTTTTCAATGGAGTTTTTTTTTTTTGGTACCTGGGGTTGAACTTGGGAACTTGCACTTGTGAGGCAGCTGCCGGAACCACTGAGCTAAATCCCTGGCTCTTCAATGGTTTTTAATCTCCTGAATATCTGTTTGAATCTGTTTCATGGATTCCATTTCTTTTTTATATTGGATGATCATGGTTTCCATTTCCATTTTATGCTGGGCATTCATGGCTTCTAGCATGATTCTGAGCTCATCTATTTTTTTTTCTGTTTCTGTTCTAGAGCCTCTAAACATGTCTTTCACTCTGCTCACCATCTCTGTAGTTTTCTGGGAAACTATTTCTGTTTTGAATTTTTCTAGCGCCTCATTCATCTGTTTTGTTACTTCCTGTGCTATCAGTTCAGGGTGTCCAGGTGGTTGATTATCAGGCTTTTCCACCTCGTTTACCCCAGAATTTGCCTTTTGTGGGGTGAAAGTCCAAGTTTGTGCCTTCCTTAAATGTCTTCTCATTTTTGTTTTTGGTACTGTCCTTGGTTTAGTTCCTGAGTTCATACTTTTAAGTTGCTTATTGTAAATATCTTTGTTGATGTATTTAGAACCCTTATGGAAAGACTGCTTCTTAGAAGTGTCTTCCAGATATAGCTGGTCTTTAGGTTTTGAGTCTCTAAGGGCTCTGAGGCTATCTCATTTTCATTATACCAGGAAGGACAACTGATTAGATCAATGACCACACCTTAGCACAAGTGATACAATCTGCAACACAAAAGTATCAAGTACCTCTTAGAAAATGACAGTTTGTGGTAGTTATTAATCTATCACCTTTAACTGTGTGAATTAAATCAAAATCAAGGACCAACCCAACATATGTTTATAGTGAATAAACTCTTCAATATAGCAACTTAACCCTTTGGGATGGCAAGTTAGAAGGATTTGGAGAGGGAGAAATAGGTAGGTCTTAGAAGGATAGGGGAAGGTTAGCAGTGAGGCCAGACGGCACAGGCAAGAGAAGGAAAGAGAAGAAAAGAAAAATAAAGAAGTAATACGAATTAGGGCCAGAACAGGAACACAAAGGGGAGATGAAGAATAATATGGGACAGCTAGGGAGTGAGGCAGAGAGAGGGAGAAAGAAAAGAGAAAAGAAAGAAAAAAGAGAAAAATAAAAATTTTAAGAGTAGAAAAGAAGAAAAAAATTAAAAATAAGCAAAAAAAAAGTGATAATTTTGAAAATAACAAAAGATAAAAATGAAGGACCTCCTTCAGGGTATGTCTCTGCTGTTACAATAGACAACGTGGGCAGGAGTATGCAGTTATAAGTCAATGAGTCTCAATAAGCCAGTCACAGACCCGTGAGATTCAAGCAGATTTGTGGCTGCAAATCCCAAGGTGAGCTCCCTGTCCTCCTGCAGGGTTGAACTCTGCAATGTTGTATTGCAGGTTCCAGCTGCCTTTTCTGTGAAGATAGTCCAGGTTCCAATGGGAGGTGATGACCCCTCCAACTTACCAAGCACGGTGGTCTAGTGTGCTTTTATTGCAGAGATTCTCTTCACTTTTCCAGTAGGCTTCAGTTTTCATCAGGGAGGCTGAGAGGCCCTCTCTCTGTTGTTCACTTCTGCAGCTCAGGACAATGGCTTTTATGTCCCCCTGGGCCTCTGTAGTGTGGAACCAAGTAGTTGCACAGCCAAGAGGCCAGATGTGGGGCAGGGGGGCTCTGTAGCTCTGTTGTTCCAGGCCCCCACTCAGCTAAGCTGGCGGCTGGTGGGCATGCGCGGGGGGATCCTCATGTCTCCTGGTCACAAGTGGGCAGAGCGAGCCAGATGGAGCAGGGTGCAGTTAACCACAACTGCTCTGACCGCGCAGCTAAGCTGGCCTCTGAATCTTATATATATAGTACACCCTTGAATGTTCAAAAGTTGGGACTTACTGTATTAAGAATTGTAGTTACAAATTTACAAATTGTATTTACAAATTTACAATTTTAATTCCCATTTAGTTATAAAGTAGAAAAGTATTCACTTTCTTAATCTTTATTTTCCTATTTGAATCATTTATCTAATTAAGTATCATAACCATTATTAAATTGATATAAAAATCCTCAAACACAGTAAGTATTTTGACTTACCTCATCACTGTGGCAGAACATAAGGGTAAACACATTCTCCAAGAGAGAAAGAACATGTTCATATGCTTCAAATAGACATCTCATAGTTTGAAGTTTCACAACATCTATGTACGGGCCTTCAGCAACTATTCAAAAAATTATATTGTAGGAATTATTTATGAACAGCATAAATACCTTACATATTAGTTTAAAATTCATTACTGTACAGTGAAAGAGCATACAAATAATGTTAAAACTGTATTTTACCACAACTCCACTTTAAGAAATCACACTTGATTTTAAAATTGTAACAACCAATTCTGCCAAATACTAATTATATGAATTGTGAATAAGTTCCTCAAAGCCTTCAGCTCACTAGTAAATATTCAAAAAGGTTTTAAAAATGATTAAGATGTGATATGTATATGTACCAACCCCAAGATGAATGCAATTATTATGTATTGCAAATATATACCTGTACTACAAAAATAAAATTTTTTTTTAAGTTTTAAGCTGGAAGTTAACAAAAGACTGCTAAACATTTTTAAACTAAATATTAAAAAATAACAATAACTTAAACTACCCATGTACCTCACATAGCTGTTACAATAATATATTTAAAAACCTCTTTGAAAACTGTAAAAGAGTTACAGAATTCATTCTCTTGTCATCTTTGACTTACTTCTTTGAATTTCTTCTACAATGAAAGGATCAAATCTAATTTTGTCAATACTTTCATCCAGACAATACGTTTTATAAATCTTCTGCAACTCTTCATGAAGAGATAACATTTCATCATTTGATAACTCTGGTCGTAAAATTCTATCATTAAATTCCTCTAATGAATCAAAGAAAAAATAAGAAAACAATAGTTTATTTTAATATAAAACTATTCATGAAAACTTCATATTCCTATTCTAATTGTAGTCAATATTAAAAGTAGCAATTATAAGACAGATATAGTAGCACAAGCCTGTAATCCCAGCACTCAGAAGGCTAAGGGAGGAAGACTGCCATGAGTTCAAGAGCTGCCTGGGTACACAGTGAGTTCAAGGCCAGCTTGAACTACATAGCAAGAGCCTGCCTCAAAAAGCCAAAAATAAGTAAGAGCAGCAATTATAAAAATCTAACTCATCATTTTAATTTTTAAAAAACATTTGGTTGCAAGTAAAACAACTACTCATATAAAAGAGTCAACTAAATTTTTATATATTAATATAAGTCATAAATGGATAGCAATACAAATTTGCTAAAATTTCAAATGGTAAACATATTTCTAAAATTTTCTTTTAAAGAATATACTAGATTAATTTCCTATACCAAAGGCCATTTAATATTTTGAAATCTGACTCACTAAATTAAAATGATACAATTTCTTTTGATCTCCAATCAACGTTTTTAGACAATAATTCCCTCCATCATAGAGGCTGCACACTAATGGCACCAGCACGTCTGAATATATGAATCTTTTTTCTAAATTGAGAGATGACAGCCACAGTCAAAATATTGAGTTTTGAATTATTTTTTCAAGAAGTATTATTAAGGAGTTTAACCTTTTATTCTTAATTATTCAAACTGATATAAAAGTTAGGAGAGGTTTTAAAAATACTAGAACAAAGTATACAAAACCTGTGGGATAAGAGCATTAAGCTGCCATTCCTTTATGACTTAACATGGACAAAACTGGAATTTTAAAAGGAAAAGAATGAGAAAATGAGGCAGCATATTTGAAGAGATAACAGCCAACAATTTTCAAAAAATTGCTAAAAGACACCAACCCAAATATCCAAGATTCTTACAAAATGCAAGCAGAATAAATTAAAAGAAAACTAGACATTACAGTTAGATTGTAGAGATAGAAAGCATAACCATAAACATGAAATAATTATAAAAGTCCTACATATACCAATTAGAAAACAAAGATCAAACTAGACTTTTAAAGGAGTTAAACTAAATGCTGATTACAAGAAATAGCAAACATTTTACTCAGACATTAAAAATACAGAGATAGTTATAAAAAAAGAGATGGTGCAGCTCTACTAATACTACACAAATAGACTTCAAAACAGAATTACCAGAGATATAAAGGAGGGGTTTTTTGTTGTTTTTTCTCATTTCTTTTTTTTTTTTGGTACCAGGGATAGAACTCAGGACCTTGGGCTTGCGAAGCTGGGCCGGAACTACTGAGCTAAATCCTCGGCCCATGTTTTTTTTTTTTTTGTACCAGGGATCAAACTCAGGACCTTGTGCTTGCAAGGCAGGCACCGGAACCAATGAGCTAAATCCCCGGCCCTTTTGCTGTTTTTTGAGTCAGGGTCTCTCTATGTAGCCCAGGCTGGCCTCGAACTCATGGCAATCCTCCTGCCTCAGCCTCCCAAGTGCTGGGATTACAGGCATGTGCCACCATGCCCAGCTTAAAGGAGTATTTTATAACAAGATGATGATTTCATCTAGAAGATACAACAGTCTTGGGTCTGTACCTACTAATAAAGTTCAAAATACATAAAAACAAAATTTAAAAAGTTAAAGACAGAAATAGTGAACCAATCAAAAAATAAGCAGAAGGGCTGGGGATTTAGCTCAGTGGTTCTGCCGCCAGCCTCAAAAGCACAAGGTCCCGAGTTTGATCCCCAGTACCAAAAAAAAAAGTCCGGTGTAGTGGTACACTCCTAGTAATCCCAGAAGGTGTGAGGCAGGGGGATCACTGTGAGTTCCAGGCAAGCCTGGGCTACACAGTGAGTTCAAGGCCAGCCTGAACTTCACAGCAACACCCTGTCTCCAAAAAAATTCAAAAATTTTTTTTTTAAAAATCAGAAAGAACAGAATATTTGAACAACATATCAATTTAACCTAACTGACATTTTACAACACTATCCAACACAAAGGAACAGATGTTATCATACACACATGGAACATTCATTGAGACAATCTATACATGAATGAGCCATAAAACAAGTTTCAATAAATTTCAATGGCCTAATATCATATAGAAAAAAAAATCACATAGAATATATTATCTGGTCAGAAAACTATTAGATTAAAAATCAATCACAACTTCTTTATCCAGTTTCCAGTTGATGGGCACTTGGGCTGTTTCCAAGCTTTAGCTATTACAAACTGTGCCGCTATAAACATGGGTGCATATATATCGCTGTGGTATGATGGGGAAGCGTGGAGGGGGGTGAAGGGTCCACAGGTAATGGGGGAGAAAATAATGTACATCATGTACAGGTACAAGCACCCAATGATAAATGTAAACATATTGTATACCTAAAATGTACCAATAAAAAATTTTTTTAAAAAATCAATCACAATAAGATCTCTCATTTTCAAAAATCCTCAAATATTTGTAAATTTAACAATACACTCTAAAATAATTGAAGGGTCAAAGAAAAAGCCACAGGACATTTTTTAATGTTTCAAATTCAATGACCATCAAAAGCACAATCACCAAGAGAGTATGTAAGTATGTATGTATGATGAATGTCATTATATTGTACACCTAAAATGTACCAATAAAAGGATGTAAAAAAACCCACAATTAATCAAGAATTTTGGAATTCAGCAATAGAAATCCACAGGACATTTACAACTTACTGCCTACATGCAAAAGAAGAAAAATGTATAGATTGATCACCTATGCTTTCATGTTAAGAAACTAGAAAAAGTTAAAAACTAAACTCTACCCAGGTGTGGTGGCATACACCTGTAATCCCAGCACTTGGGAGAGTGACATGACTTCCAGGCCAGCCTGGGCCACATAGTGAGATCAAGGCTAGCTTGAACTACATAGTGAGACCCTGTCTCAAAAAACAAATAACAACAACAACAACAACAACAACAACAACAACAATGAAAAAACTAAACTCTAAGTTAGTAAAAGTTAAAAAACTAAAAGAAAAATATCAATAAATAAAAAATATTAATAAGCCAGGCATGTTGGTCCACAAGGTAATACCACACTTTGGGAGACAAAACAAAAAGATCCTAAGTTTGAACTCAGCCCGGACAACTAACTTAGCAAGACCCTGTTTCAAAATAACATAAAAAATGGGTAGGAGTGTAGGTCAGTGCAAAGGCACTTGGTTTAATCCTAGTATGGCCCCCCACTGATAAATTCCTAGCAAGCAATACAGATTAAGAAAAAAATCAAATACAAAAAAACAATGCAGAGGGGACATTACTCTAGCTCCATAATGGAACACTACGAACAATTTGATCAAGACAATAATATAGCTGAGACATTGGAGCAGACATCTCTGCCCAGTATTAGCAGACTCTGATTAATTGCAACCAAGTCTCAGCATGCTTTGATCTCTCCAAGCAAGATAAAAAGTGTATTCCCCCTTTACATCCCTGTTTGCATATCAGCTATCCCTGTCTGCATATCAAATATTCCTGCCTGCATATCAGCCATCCCCAGATGCTGCCAGCCAGATGCTTCTGGACCTTTCACACTGTGCCACTAGATGTCTTCAAAGCATTCTTTTTCCACCTTCCCATGCTTAGTCAATAAAATACTGGATGTCCTTGCACCCCTTGTCTTCGCTGCCCAGAGCAGCAATGATCAGCCCAAGATCCAGTTCTCTCTAAGTCTCACTTCTTTCTTCACTCTTATCAGCTTGTGTTGTAGTGGATCACAGGATCCACTACTTACAGAAGTCTATGGTAACATTCCCATTCTGGCTCTCTATAAGACACAGTAAAAGCATTCCAGGGCCAGGATTTAGCTCAGTGGCACCACACCTGCCTCTCAAGGACAAGGTCCTGAGTTTGATCCCTGGTACAAAAAAAAAAAAAAAAGCATTCCAAAAAGTGCAGTATCTATTCATGATTTCAAAAAAAAAAAAAAAAACACAACAACTCTTCATCAGAAGAGACCTAGAATAGCAAAAGCAATTCTACACAACAAAGGCAAGGCAGGGGGCATCACAATTCCTGACTTCAAATTATACTACAAAGCTACTCTGATAAAAACAGCATGGTACTGGCAAAAAAACACAAAAAACAAACAAAAAACCCACCACCACCAACAACAAATAACCTTGAGGATCAATGGAACAGATTAGAAGATGTACAAACAACATCTTATCTTGGACAAAAGGGCCAAACGCCTTCACTGGAAAAAAATAGCCACTTTAATAAATGGTACTGGAAAAATTGGCTCTCCACATGCCAAAGACTAAAACTAGATACATGTCTCTCACCATGAACTAAACTAAAATCAAAATGGATCAAATATCTAACTATAAAAACAGAAACAATCTGCTGGAAGATAGAATAGGTAGAACTCTTGAAGACATTGGTGTAGACAAAGACTTTATGAACAAAACCCCAATTGCACAGGAATTATCACAAAGAATCAACAACTGGGATTTCATCTCATTAAAAAGCTTTTGCACAGCAAAAGAAACCACCAAAAGAGTGAACAACCCACAGAGTGGGAAAAAGTTTTTGCCAGCTGTTCCTCAGACAAAAGACTAATATCTAATTTAAAGACCCAATCCAAGAATGGGCATCTGAAATGAATAGACACATCTCAGATGAAGAAGTGCAAATGGCAAATAAATACATTAAAAAATGTTCAACATCATTGGTCATTCAAGAAATGCACATTAAAACTACTGAGATTCCATCTCACTCCAGAAAGAATGGCTATTATCAAGAAATCAATCAGTAACAAACACTGGCAGGGTTGTGGGGGAAAAGGAACACTTCTCCACTGCTGGTGGGAGTGTAGACTGGTACAACCACTGTGGAAATCAGTATGGAGATACCTCAAAGAACTAGGACTGGAAGACCCATTTGACCCAGCTAGTCCCCTGCTGGGTATCTTCC